TTTTTTGTACCTTTTAATATAGATAATACCGAGAATCATATTTCCTGGTATATTTCGAATGTTTAATGGTCTTTTTTGTTTTGTGGGGAGGGAGTATTGAAGATTAAAAGCGAACCATATCGTTCATATGTACAGTACATACGGAGTACCACCCACAGACATACACACACACACACATACACACACATACACGAAAAGGAAAACTATCTTTCCTAAATAAAGTATTTTCCATAGTCTACCTCCAAGTCTGTATGTAGTGAGAGTCACACCAACATTGCCTCACTTAATCCAGTGCACGCCTGCAGTTGTCTCTCCACTGCATCCGTCCGATTCGAGTCACCGCCAGCCTGGCACTTGGCTCACGACGAACAAATAGGAAAGCGTCATGCTTGTTCGCTTGCTTATTCTCCGTCCCCAACTTGACTCTACTATTGTTATTTCCCCTACGTTAGTGGCATACTCATACATACATATTGCCAACAGACAGCATCCAACCTAAACCAAAGAAAGTCTCCTTTCATTGCCCATTTCCCCCTCCCCTCCACGTTCGTCCAACCATTGCAGACCGAGTGACTCCAACATACATTCAGACCAACCATACAGAATTCCTGGATTCTTTCGATTTGCTGGCAAGCAATCGCCCACTAAGGTAGACCTTCTCTCTCACTTACGTCGCTCTTTCTTTCACACATTCTTCATTCTTCCCTCTCTCCCTTTTCTGCTCTCTGCATGCCATCCATCTCCGCCGATTCAGCCAGTTGTCTCTTATCGTTGGACGAGACCCGTCAGATCGGAGTTTATCCTCCTGTTAATTAAGCTCCCAATATTATTGATTTATTATTCATATTTCTATTTCTATTTCTATTTTTTATATTATATTATATTTCATTTTTTTCGGTTTTTTTTTTTTTTTTTCCCACCTTTTTTATATTTTCCTATTCTATGATCGCTTCTTTATTTGATTGATTGATCTTTTTCCCTTGATTCTTCTATACTTGCCTGCGTTTCTTCCTCCCACCCCCCTCCTCTTCTCTCTCTCTCCCTCTCCCACGATCCCTCATCCACGACCTCTTTATAACATTCCGTTGTCTGTTTTCCTTTCCTACTTTACCTTTGTCACCCTCTTCTTCTACCCCGCCTTCCAACCCGTCCTTATCGTCCATCTATCAACCCTGGAGCCGTCGATCGTGTCGCATTGCCCTCAACAGGATACTGTTCCCCATGAGGACCGTGATCCTTTCTCTTCTTACCCTTTAAGGGCTAAACAATGCGATAGAGAGACGGTTCCTGGAGTCAGGGGCAACCTGCGACCTCACACGTCCTCTTGGCTATCTGGCCGGGAGACTGCCCATGGCAACATCATGTTCGATGCCCAATCTGATGGTCTCTCGTCGACCTTAGCTTATGTGACCAGTACGTTCTAAGTGATTAATTTAATCTACTTATTTATTTTGTGGCCTGTTTGCGTGATCGTCAGCCCCCCCTTTTTTCCTTACATTTTCTCTTGCGCATATAACTACCACTTCCTCCCTACCATCGCATTACATTCAATTCTCTCGCCTTTTGAACGGGAACTATATACCGCTTGCTCCGCTAACGTTCTCACCTGCTTTTTCAACGTCAGATCTAATGCCCTCCATTCGGCCTGTTTCACCATGTGATAGTACATCTCAGTCACCTGCTGCGACTGCCAGCATGTCCCCAATCCGGTTCTCCCCCGAGTTTACGGGTCGGATTACAGGTGAGCCTGGAGATTCGGACCTCGCAAGTTCGCGATTCATCGCAACACCCGTCTACCCCGACGATGAATGTCCTTCGGGAATGCCGCCCCGCACCATCTCATCCGTGCCTATGGAGGTTGGCCCTAAGGTTTCTTTTGAGTGTCTGGCCAAATGTTACCGTCAAAACCAGCAGAAACAAACCCGTCGGAAAATTTTGGAACAGCGTCTCCATGCCACCAAAGTATCTATGGGTGTCTCTGCGCGCCTGGTCCGCGTGGGTGCCACCATTCAGCGCGGCTTGGTTGACCGATTGAGACATGATGACAAGGCCAATTTCATTTCACTTTACCAGACCCTGATTGATCTCCAGGAATCATGTGATTCTGCCTTTCGGCGTCACTTTCACCGGCAGGATCCGTTGGAAGAATGGCCATCATCTCCCGAGTCCACAGTGGATCATACCCCGGATTTTTTCGTCCAGTTGAGTCCCCAATCCCGGACTGACCTGATTGAAATTCTGCAATTGGTCCGCACCGATCCTCAGTTTTTGTTTGAAAGGTTATGCAGCTTGACCCCGGCCCAGCTGGGCTCTTTGGTATCATCCTCGGCTCCTTCGTGGGACGCCGGTGATCTCACGTCCCCTTCAGCTTCCCGATCCCGGAACTATCCTTCCTCCAAGCGCAATCTTTCCACATCCATCCCTGTTAAGGACCATGTGCTCGCCTTCGAGAGAGCGGATGCTATATCCACTATGCTGTTTAATGCCTTTGCGGCCCCTCTGGACTCGGATGCCCCTGAAGCCAAATTGCGCCTGGATGTGTGGTCTTCTGTTTGCGCGAAGCTCATTGCGGATGGCAGCAGCAGATTCCATCCTCTCCTCAGCCACATATTGGCCGCCTGGTCCATGGGCAGTGATTGGAAAGCTAAGCCCAAATTTGAACTCTACCTCATGGATATTCTCCAAACTGGTGCATTCCTCTTGGAACATGTAGATACCCCACCCGGTCTGAACTTTGACGCTGAGCTTCCAGACCCTTTGAGAACGGATGTAGCCGAAGAATTCTTTGCCTCTGCGGTAGATGATTTATTCCGACTTTTGGATGACCCAGACGGAGGACTTCCCGTTGGGGTGATGGAACTGAGCAGCGCCATATTGCAAAAGCTGGATCGCCAGGACTGTCGTGATCGATTTCTGGAGTTCCTGTTTACCCAGTGGTACTTTTCTAAATTCCTCTATGGTGCACTAACCTTCCCTGAGGTATGATTCTACACACTTGGTCTACCTTTCCTCCCCTTTCTTGATAGTCTGACCCTATTATTAGGCCCACGGACTCTTGCTTGACTTCCATATCAGAAAAGACGCGCGAGAGAAACTCTTAGGACAAGTTGGACTCCAGGCTTATTATCAGGTCTACGCCATCCTACGATCAATGTATGCGGCTCTCATTGTTATCTAAATGTTGCAGATATGTAACTAAGCTGACGAAAATCTATCGCTCATAGGACTCACTACTCTATGGCGCGTCCCACGGTTAGACACCATGTTGAGAACATGCTCTTACGATTCCAAAATGTGGCCTCGGAAAGACAAGCCCATATCCCGCGCTCGTCGTACATAAGCTCTGCAGGTGGACGCGAGTCACCGGCTGTCTTTTTGATGCTTTCGGCCACTGACATTCTCAGCCTACTGAATGCGCTTTTCCCCAGGACATGCTCTCCTGTGTGCAACTCTCCAACTCCATCTTCGGGCGTTTCTGGTTCTTTCAGGTCTCTCAGGTCTCTGCAATCCGTCTCGGAAAGACAGGGAACTTCGGTAGCCGAACCGGGCTTTTTCAAACCCATTGTCAATAATTATTCCAGGCGTCCTTCTATCAGAGGGCTCTTCTCAACTGACATGGATTTCTTGTCGCTCCCAGAGAATTCTTTAGCTCGCAATGCCGATCGGATTCGCTTCGAACTCTCCGATTTGGGTGAACCTTATGGTCGCTCCAACTTGGAGCCCCTATCCGCCGAAGAATGGACCATATTTTCAGTTACCCAGAACGGAAGGCGTCTGCTCTGGAGCCTTTTCTCCGACAATCAACCCACCTACCATAAAATCGCATCAGATGATGACGTTCAATCCACCGCCTTAGGCCTAGAAGATAACTTCGAAGCTCTTCAAACAGCTATTGTAAAACTGATCCAAGAAAATCCGGCCGATGACCATGTTGAAATTGGTTTTCAAGCCCACGATGCTCTGCAAACAGACAGTCTGTCCCTCAAGCAAAGGTTTGATCGGGCTATGGCTTATTGTCACCATACCTCTGACTTCATTGGTGCCCATTATTGGTGGAACGCCGGCCGACAGCTTGTTCGGACTGCCGCCAGCTCTTCTACTCGGCTTGCAGATGACTCGTGGATTCTTCAGCCAATGCATACCTCGAGTGTCCGCTCCCTTCAGACTTCACGCTCCGTTATTGAACGCTGCGAAAGTGACTTTGTTGCTCTCGACCGCCATATGCAGCGACTGCAGCGAACAGTTAAGGACATGATGGCCACGGTGGCAAAGCTGCGAGACAAGATGTGGTATATGACCGATGTAAAGAACTCAAAGAGGTATGAGGAAGCTAAACATGTTGCGCTGGCATTGAAGACGATGATATACTCCGCACGTCTCTACAAACAGACACCTAATGACAGTCGATCCCGGGGCGCTGGAAGATCATTCGGTGGGTCTTTACTGCAAAAGCCAGAGCTACAGGTTATGGATCTTATGAAGGCGCCGAGAAGCTATGGTAGTCCGAATAAACTCTCGGACGAACAGGTGGATTTACTTCGAAAATGGCTGTCCCATAACAATATCGAGAATTTCTGTAAAGGGGAGGAACGAATCCACCGGTTTTGTTACGAGGTCAAATCAAGTGTCAGCCGGCTAGTCGGAGAGACTATGGCGGAAACACCTGTCTTGTGGGCCAGTGAACTATACCATCGAGAACGAGCCAAGTATGAAGGCTCCAGCAGCCGAAATTTCCTTGGTCTTTCTTCTAGTCTACGGCCCTTCAGCATCGCCGGTGAGGAGCCTAACAATTCACTGCCTTCATATTCCAATAATTTTCGCCCAGCCGACTCACAGTCAAGGTTCTCACATGAACCTCCTCCGTTGAATACGAAAACGTCCTTCCAGAGTTTGATCTCTGACAAGTGGAGGGTTCCTCGAGAGCCATCTATCGCCGATACTTCTTCTGTCGTGGGCTCCCCAGGAAGGACCCCGTCGACCTGCACCGGAGATTCCTGCAGCACGTTTTGGTCGGCACCACACCAGGCCACACAGTATGCTCCGAGCGCGTCCAGCCTATACTCTCGACCCCCATCGCTCCTGAGTGAGACTGCAAGCCAGCAACCCCGACGCAACGATCGTAAAATCCTTGGAAAGGCGGCATTTTTGGATGGACTACGACAAACGCTTACAAGCCTTCTGTTAAGTGATTTGGGCTCACCGGTGTGGAGCTGCGGCAGCGAGACCGATGCCTGGTTTGGTAATGCTCTAGATCAGAAGAGAATCCAAGCACAAATGAAGAAACGGGCTCGGATACAGCGGTTCTATACAGAGTACGACGAGCGGCTGATCCGCCAAGCTATCCGTCGAACATCGCCAAGTTCGCGAAGAAGCAAATCACTTGGACCTTTAGAGGGAGAAGAACCCCATATGATCAAGACATTACCTTGCTCCACGAGCGATGCCAATGCGAGTTTTGACGACCAACCCCCATTCTCATACAAAGCCGTTTTTCGTCGCTTGATCGAGGTCTTCTCACGCCATGGAAGCCCATTTGCCAAGCTGAATGCGTTACGTGACCTACGCGCCTTGGTCATCGCCTCACTGAACTCAGTTAATGACGACAAAACTCATTTTCTTCGCGTCACTGAATCTTCTTGTCACAGACGCAATTTTGGTATTGAAGGGAGGAGAGCAGCTCGCCACAGCTTCTTAGAAACCCAGGCAAATCGGGTCTCGGCCAGATTTACCCATACTCCAACATCTCCTACCGACGAGTCAGTCATCTTTGACTCCCGCCCCTCTGACTATCTAGCCCCAACGGAAAGCCAAATCGTGGAGGCCCTGCGTGATATAATCCTCGAAGTGAAACCAAAGACTCTATTCCGTGATTTGCAATTTATTTCATCCTTTGTCCCTAGTGAGACATTGAATAAGACCGATAGTGGAACCGCATTCTTACAGTTTGGTTTGGCTGCCCTAAGCTTGAAGGACGAGATCTGCAACAGCATGGTTGAAATTGCCGACAACATTGTCTCCCAAGAGCTCAGCCGGCGCCACCTACCTCATGGGCATGACATGCATGCAAGGTCCGGTCATGCCATTGAGGATGCTGCTGGGATGTGGATCATTACTGCGAAAGAGGGGAACCCAGTTGCTCAGCGGGAGCTGGCAATTCTCTATCTCACCCACCCTGAGCTTCTCCCTCGTGTCACCCTGCCTCTCACTTTTCTGCGGGATACATTTAAAGAGGAGACGTTACCCCGGCGGGATAAGGACCCCAAGTCTGACCCGCAGAGCATGTGTTTGGCACTGCACTGGATGCAGCTGTCGGCCAACGGAGGAGACGAGCTTGCGCGGAACAGACTTCGCGAACTCGAAGAATTCGATTCTATCGCATAGTATTCATTACAACTATGCATGTGATTTTTCAAGGGGCTTAGGCTCTTTGGCTTCTTTTCCTGTAATGTCACGATACCATTCATGATTCGCTATTACCTGTTTTTCTTTTTCTCGATATTCTCTACCCAACCCCGTTTGACCCTTTACACCTGACTAATGCTTTTGCATTTATTTACAATATCTTGCCAACATGGAGAATTTCCCTGCCCTGTAGTTATACTCTGTTACATCAGCGTCTCATATTTTGCATGAGAGCAGGAACGGAGTTTTGGGTTCCTTCCCTCTCTTATTATCTGCAGTCTTCTTCTCTTAGTCTTATCTTATAAGATTCCCCTATACTGTTATTGATTGGTTCTTCTTTATTTTTATCTTCTATTTTAAACAGGGTGGCATTCTGCATTCTCTTCGCTTTCCCCCATTTTCTGGGTTGAGAATCTTTGGAGTTCTACACCTTGGACTGTAGAGATTATAGGAGTGGTGGCCGTCTGCTCATCATATACAATTCCTATTGCCCTCTCCTCGCTTTTTATAGGGGCTAAAGTATGTCGTTATAAAGGTCGATAAAATTGAGTTTTCCGAGCAGCCGTAGCTGGCATTTGATATGAGCATGTAATCCAGCAAGTAACCATCCGTGATGGAAATCTTTTACCACAATAGCCATTGTCTCTTGTTCCCTTTCTGCTTTCTGCTTTCTGCTTTTTTTGTTTTTGTTTTTATTTTTATTTTTTAAAATTTTTTTTTTGTTTCTCCTCCCCTCCAAGCGTACTTATTATCGATATGGCATGAATACCACCGGTACCGCGGAGAGAGCTGGTGTTCAAAATTTACTGTTTGATTTAGTAGGTCCTTCGACGTCATCGGCCCCACGTGCCAGTTCATGAAACTGTTGTTTCCGCTTGTGACTCGCACTTTCACCATCCTTCCATTTCTAGACGTGGTGAGCAGAACTACTTTTGACAACCTGCCATTAATCACACGGTCCCTTCCTTCTACGTGTCCCAGGACCTGGAAGATTTTTCAGCTGAGAGAAAACCCTCTCCGCAGCAAACTTTGGTCAGCCTTAGGAGGCTTATGCACCCCTCCAATCCCGCATCATTCTGACGACCACTCAGCCTCAGTTTCATGATCTTTGCGATCTCAGCTGACTAGGTTATCCTTGATTAAAGAGTATCGCTGCCATCCCCTCCTTCCTTATATTGCGTCTTTTTCTGCGCGATCCCATTTTCGTTTTCTTTGCCTTATTCTTCTCTTTTCGTCCGATTTCTATCCAGCGGGAATTCTACGATGGGGCACAACATGGACGAAACACACAAGAGACCCAAGGGTATCCTGAAGAACCCTAGCTCTCAAAGCATTCAAACAACACATGATACTTTGGCCCCGCGGGCCCCCTCTACAGAACCCATGGATACGAAGGAGCTCACCCTGCAAAATACCCTACAAAACGCCGGACGTCGCCGCTCCTCGTCCACCACACGTCCTGGGACCGCTTCTCGACGCCATTCGGTGGCTAGTGTCCAACATGATGAGAACTCGCCGCGGTTGAAATGGGACGAGGCAAATCTTTACCTGACTGAACAGGAGAAAACAGCTAAGATGAAGATCGACGAACCCAAAACACCGTATGCGCCGCACTATGACCCAAGCCAGGATGGAGAAGAAATGGAGCTTGCAGAAGCTGAAGACAGCTTGATCGACGCGCAAGGGGTGGTTGTGGACGAACTTGACAAGACGACCAAAGATCCTCGGAAAGCAGTCGCTGAAGATGAGATTCCCGATCTAGAACTAGGAGAGCCGGAGGAATCGATCCTTGATCGTGCTGGGGCCCAAGATAGCGATCGCATCGTACGCGCGCGGAGTCTGAGCAATGAGTCGCACCGGAGTGACAAGCATGTGGTTATGGGAGCCAACGAGCCCAATGGCGAGGCCGGCGCCGATGCGGATCACTTGTTAAGTCCCGAAGAGGCCCAGGAGAAGCATCGCCAATTTGAGCAGCAGAGGAAGCAGCATTACGAGATGCGGAATATCAAAGAACTTCTTGCGTAGGTGGCCCTTCTCACGAGACTTTCTCGTAGGTGTGCTAACGTTCCTCTTTAGCCATTCCGTAGACCTAGAGGAAATGGACGAGGATGAAGACGAGGGTGCGAGCAAGAACTCTACCCCTGCTGTTCCGCCGCCGATGCCCCAAATTCCCCAGAAGTTCTTGAGGGAAGGGAAGTAGGGGCTACATTTCCCTGCTGGCATTAATTTCGATCAGTGCTAAGCTGTGCCTATTTTATTTTATTTTTATATATATTTTTTTTATTTTTTTCATCTTCACCTCACACCTACCTATGCCACTTTTGTATATTTGTATATTCCCCAGCGATCTCCATGTTCTATGTTACCAATTATGAGTGACCATTATGGGCATTTCCAGCCCCTATTCCCATTGCTACGGAGATAAGTCATGTTCCAATTGACTTGGGTTTCGTTGAGAAATGATGATAGATCATTTTGTGCAGGAACAGATCGGAGGATGAGGGCCCCGTTGATCTGATAAGTGGATGATTTTATGGCCAGCTTCGTTAAGGGGAGGGGGCATGAATGAATTATGGACGAACAGAGGTAGCCACGGAAACTGGATGTGACTTGGCATGAGAAACCTTACAGAGGGTATTTCATGCATGCATGTCTGAGTGGTACAGTCACAATAAGGGGGGGAGGGTGTTCATCTCGTCCGAATTAGAGAGGCAGCAGCCAACATCCGTAGAGGCTCCACAATAGCCCTACTTAGTCATTGTACATACTCCGTACTGTACCCTTGGTGGATGTTAGGTTAGTAGTATATTGTACAGGGACACCAACCACAGTGACACACGGGAAACGAATCAAACATATCAAAGAGAAAAGAGAAACGAGAAAAGAAAGGAAAAGAGAACATTCGTGGATATGGTAGAACAAGTTAACTGTTCTTGAGAACATGATTCATGCCATCTGGACCAGCTCCGAGAACGGGTCAGTAGCTAAATTAGGTAAATGGAACTAACTAGGTAACGATTCAGCTGCTCCTGAAACATGCTGCACGTAAATTAATCCTACTTAAACTCTAGTGCTGAGCCGGTCGTTAGGCCACCAGGAGAGAAAAGGTACTGTACTGTACGTACGGACGTACCTTACTGTATAATAGAACTCAATGGGAATTTCTGTAGGAGGAAATGTGATTGATCGCAACCAGAGAAAATCAAATAATTAGGATCAGGAAGGTTAACTCAACAAAACCAGGTTGAGTATGTGTCATGTTGGTCAAGAATGTATGTATCTTTCTTTTTTTTTTTTTTTTTTACCCTCTTTTAAACCCCCTTTTTAACGATTCCCCTCGATCTGTGAGTAATCCAAACGTTTTCTCGACTCTACTACTACTAAAATCTCGGGATATTTATAGTAGCTCCCACGTTAGATTAAGGCTCATTTGCTAGATTAAAAAGCAAATAAAATCAAATACGTACTCCGTAGCAGAACAAATTCATATTAAATTTAATCTTACTGTCATTCCCTCCTGTCAATTTTCTGCCCCTCGTGACTTGAGGGCATGTGATCTGTGTGGTCTGCCTGCTTTTTCGTCTGTTGTTTTTTCGACTTTCTCTTCCCTTTTCTTTCTCTCCCTATAACTTTCTATCGAGTATTCACCGTTGCACTGTGGTTCCTTTCCTATACAGTTTCGTTGCCCTATACAGCAGCGCCCACCGAGCTCCTAACCCATCCATTTTACCCCCTTTCTATTTATCGACCTAAACATCAAGATGGCTGATCAGCAAGAGAAGACTGCTTCGGCTGTCCCCGAAACCCAGCCTCCTAGCCAAACTGCCGAGACAACAACCCAAACAGCCGCAACTCCAGCTCCAAAGGTTCAGGCAGAACAGGCGCAACCTACGGAGTCTGGTCCGAGCGCCGCCAGCACCACAACTGAGCAACCCACCAACCCACCTGCCGCAGAAGCTCCGAAGGAGACCGCCGCGCCTGCGCCGGCTCCAGTCCCGGCAGCGGAAGACGCGCCAGCAGAACCTGCGCCCGCACAGGAACAGCAGGAAGAGGAGAAGCGTGCAGACAATAAGCCGGAGTATCTGGTCAAAAACCCTGCCTTGAGTGAGCTGTTCGAGCGTCTGCCTACTGTGCTCTCCAACAGTGGTCATGATGAGATGTGGGGTGTCCCCCTCCGGGATTCCAGCGATGTTCCGACGGTCAACGTTCTGATCAAATTCCTTCGTGCTAATGAGGGAAATGTTAAGTTGGCTGAGGGTCAGCTGACCAAGGCATTGCAGTGGCGCAAACAGACAAATCCCACCGCGTTGGTCGAGGGCCGTTACAGCGCCAAAAAGTTTGGCGGATTGGGATACTTGAGCACGTACAAGGACGCTGGCGGCAAGGAAACCATTATCACCTGGAATATTTATGGTGGTGTCAAGGATCTTGGTACTACGTTTGGAAATGTAGATGAGTAAGTCAACGTTTCCCAGTGAAACTGGGTATATTATATCTGACTGCATGTAGGTTCATCAACTGGCGTGTTGCACTCATGGAGCTTGCCGTTAAAGACTTGAAGATGGACCAAGCTACGTCCGTTATCGACTACGAGGGCGAGGATCCTTATCAGATGATCCAGGTTCATGACTACCTGAACGTCAGCTTCCTGCGCATGAACCCCAGCGTCAAGGCTGCTACTAAGAAGACCATTGACGTGTTCGCTACAGCCTACCCAGAGCTGCTTCGGGAGAAGTTCTTCGTCAATGTCCCCTCTATCATGGGTTGGATGTTCGCGGCGATCAAGGTCTTCCTGAGCAAGAACACCACCCGCAAATTCCACCCTATTTCCAACGGCGCCAATCTGGCACGGGAGTTCCCGCCTGCCGTCAAGGAACAGTTTCCCAAGATCTACGGTGGAAGCGCTCCCGCTCTGCATGAGGGCGCCCGTACGGTGGCCCTTGAGGAGGACAACGAGCCAGCCCCCACCCCTGCTGCCGTCGTGGAACCTACCGAGAAGGCCAAGCCAGAACAAGAAGCACCCAAGCAGGAACAGGCCCCGGAGGCCCCAAAGGAGGAAGCTCCCAAGGAAGCCCCGGTGGAGGCCCCAAAGGAGGAACCCACGCAGCCAGCTGCCGCAGAGCCGGCCAAGACTGACACGGCTGTTACGACTCAGGAGACAGTGGCTCCCGCTGAAGCCAAATAGATGCAGCGTCTTTGCCCCTTTGATGCTCTGGCTGAGTCGGCTGCTTTTTGATGGTAATGGTAGGGTTAACTGGCGGAGAAGAATGCGTTGAATAGTTTGCGATGCTTGATTTGTGTCTGAAATTTTGATACCTCGGAAAGTTTGTTTTATGTCTACAAGAGCCTGTTTGTTTTGAATCACTTAATTAGAATAGTAATATTTAATAATAGCACAGGAGCAACGAATGTCATTGTTTCGTTATGAAGAATACCCGCACCTGTACGGAGTAAAGAAAAGGCGGTGGGGGGG